CGGAATTTCAAAAAATGGACATTTTTTAGGGTGACCTATGAGTTTAGCATTTTTCTCTGAACCAAAGTTACTTTAGAAAACGGTCGCACATAAAATCTGGTTTATTCTTCACAAGCTATCAGAATATTGACTTACTTCGTAAGATGGCTAACTTCATCAAATAGTTTAACTGAAAATACCATTCTTAACGGAATTTCAAGCGTCACGAAATTTCATCTTTTCTTGATGCTTCAGTGGAGAAGATTTAAGGATTCAAAAGTTTCATAGGAATATAATAAAAAGGCATGTAAGGAATCAATAGTCTATCTTACATTCTAGAGACAATTTTCTATATTCTCTTATGTTTGAATCATTCTCACACAAGGTTTACGGATCAATAGTTTTGCCCATATTTTGCATTCCGAGTTTTTGGAACAATCAAAGGATTCAACAGTCGAATCTTGCTGAATTCAAGATGAAATCCGACTGTCACATTGGGTAAATATTTCAATCGTCAGATTGCAATAAAATTCTTGTAGTCCTATCAAATTGTTTTTTGTTTTGGATGAGTCTTGTTTATTCTAATTAAAGGTGGAGCAGATTTCGAGTCCCAGTTAAGAACGAAAGATTATTGTGAACGGAAACATTACTTATTATACAAAACAGAATTTTACTTCATTTAACTTTCGATGAACAAACAAATAAGGAAAAAGATGTGTTAACCGTGCTTCGATAGCTCAATGGTTAGAGCACTGGTCATGCCAACCATTCTTGGTCATGGATTCGATTACCTGTGGAAGCATATCTTTTCTTATCTGTTTGCCCATCGAAAGTCAAAGGAAGTAAAATTCTGTGTTGTATAATAAATTACATATACTTCTTTGCTATTCTTTGAAAACTTCAGTTCTTTAACAATCTCCGATCAAGAGATATATGTATAGATAGAGCATCGAAAAATGACTTCTTTGTGATGTACCTGATAGAAGCGATCATCTTATCAACAGATCAATCATTAGAACTCAGTTATTCATTGGTGACTACATCAAGTTGAGACGCTTGCACAGTAAAGGCTTAAAGCAAATGAATGTATTTTTAGTAAATCCGATGTCACAAGAAATGAAAGTGTGTTTTTTTATGATAGTCCCATGAGAAAAGTAGTGTGCTGTAAGAAAAGGTATCTATCTTTTCAAACTACTTGCGTCAAAATTCTTTAAATTAACCTTTCTACCCTTCATCGTAGATGCAGCAGAGTCCGATGACCTCGATTGAGCAAAACCGATGGTGACTTATGTGGGCTGACCATTATACAGGTCATTCCATTTATTTTGAAACAAAATAGAAGTCCTTTTATTCTTTTATTTTTAAACACTAATTGCAAAAAAGTTCAATAAACAATCCATGAGCATAGTAAATTAATCTACAACGCTTTGCCCAATTCTAAAAAGCATTGTCAATTACATCTTGCTCAAGGTTTTTCCACTTTATTTTAATGGCATTTTTCAATCCCTTCAATGTTGATACCTTGTGTTGTCGCACTCGTTCTTTCATAATTCCCCAAATTGAATGGTCCATTGGAGCAGCATCTGTACTCTTGGGTAACTATTCCCCCGATGTTATAACCTGAATATTATGCTTTTTCACATAAGCAATTGTATCTTTTGCTACATGATCAGATGCGGTGACTTGATGAAGTATCATTTTCTTTCGTATATCATTAGGAAATAAATGAAGAATGTCATATTTGATAAAGGACTTTATAATTTTTTCAATATAGTACTTGCTGGTAATTGTTGATCCGTGCTCAATAAAATGTAATTGAGTTTTTCTATGTGCACTCACACCATTCCCAACCAACACAGCCACAGGATTTAAATTATCTCGCTCGATCTTTTTAACTTCTTGTGGCAATTCATTACTTCAAACATAGTATACATCTCTAATACCTTGGCTTGCATAGAAGTAAAACCACGTTTCATCACTGGTTACATTATTTTTATATTTTTCATCGGATAATCTTCTGTGCATACGCCAAGCTCGAGATCGTCTCTTTTCTATAATAGCTGGATATAGTCGATGTACTAGTCATTTTTTACGATATTTTGCATGAATAACATCTCCAAATAATTCGAAAAGTAGTATCAACACTCATATGATACCTTGCAGCCATGAAAGAAATAATTGGAGGGTTTTCTTTATTAATGTACGATGGAATACGACAAACTATTGAAGGTACTGCTGTATGACGACGACGACGATAAAAATTTCGCTTCTGATTATTTGATAAGCATAATTGGCTATGTTTTCCAACCTTATTAGCAATATGACTGATATTGCTTTTTGATACATTGTAATTCATTGCTAATAACTCTTACTAAATTATAGAACATGACTACTTAGTTTTATGTTAAAAGATGTTTGGCGATACCTTCAATATTATCAGATATTTTATTGCAAGGCTTTCATGTATCTAAAATATAAGTATCACTAGAACTTAGTTACTATTAGAGGAACAAACTGAAACGAGAATCATTAGATCTATATCAGTTATTTACAAAAAAAACGGGTGCAAATCGTTTCAAAAAAAATGGAATGATCTGTATACCTACATAGTCAATAAGTAAAAATTTGAAAACGTCGATCAGAACTTGCCATCAGCAGCTAATATTTTAAAATTTAGTAGTTTCTTGTCCAGAGCAATAATTTGACCTGAACATAGTTATTCAAATCAAGTAAAATGCAAAGCAGTTCCATCGTCAGCTGTTTAAAAAGTGGAGGGTGGCATTCATCCAGTTTTTCCCTTATATCTTACCCGCACCTTAGACAAAACTCTCATCTACACCCTAGACTGAAAGAAAAACAACTCACACTATCGCAGCGAAGAGGTTTTCGTGAACTAAAAACATTTTTAAATTTTGCAACGAATTCTTAACCATTTATAGGTTTCGTAGGAAATCTGATGAACCTTTCAAAAAGACTTGTTAATCGTTGACAAACATATTGAAAGTCTCCTAGGTTTTAATAGAATCTTGGAGTTTCAATTTCCATGCACAAACGCTTTGTTGTGACGCCTACGTTTTTCTCAGTGTAGGCTTAAGTTTTAAGTCAACTTGGCATTTTAGATTGAATTTCAAAATGACAACGAACGAACCCAAGCAGTGGCACGAAAACGTTGACAGGTTCAAGAGTTTTTTCAACCAGATCGCATTCGTTGCCTCGATTGGAATTTCATTCGCAGCGAGTGGCGCTTTTACTCTCGCATGTACCAGCAGTTTCCAGGGTCGTACGGACAATGACACTATGGCTTCTGTTGCAAGTAAGGCCGAAACATTGACTTATGCTTCTTGCATTTTTGGGATTGCGCTATTCTGGTCACTCATATGGCTGTTAATGCTTACGAGCCGATCAGCCGTGGAGGCGCTAAACTCGGACTCATATCAGTTTTTTCAATTTAGCTTCTTCCTGACGGCGGCTGGATCATTAATATTAGTATTGATAGGAATGATATTTTTGGCAGAAGGACTAAAAAGTGTGAATAAGAGTGCTGGAACGATTTTAGAATGGTCATTATTGGTACTAGGACTCTTAACCTTACTGCTCTTTTTCTCCATACGATGTAATTGGATGCCAAAGGTGCACGGATAAGAAAGCAGAAAAAGCAGTTCGCCGGAAAGTCCAACCAATGCGATGCACGTAAATCAATTCACAAACAGATTAACCTATCTTCTAACGAAGAGACAAATCAATCTGCTATTCTCAATTCTTGCTTTTCAGTGATCGATCAGAAGTAGAAAATAAATTTCGAATTAAAGTTATAAATGTTCTTCTATTTGAAATAATTTTTAAAAAATCCAGAGTTAATTTAAAAACAGATTAACTTATCTTAGAACGAAAAAAGAAATCAATCTGCTAGTCTCAACTCTTGCTTTTCGGCAATCGAGGGTGGGGTGTAGATGTGAGTGTGATGACAAGACCATCTTAAGCCGCAAGACCCACACCGACAGCCACACCTACTTCTATATGCCAAATGAAATTTTGGGTGTGGGTGTGGGTGTGGGTGTGGGTGTGGGTGTGGGTGTGGGTGTGCGTGTGGGTGTGGGGTATGGGTGGGGGGTATGGGGTATGGGTGAGTGTGGGTGTAAAAAAAGAAATATATCCCTACCCACACCCATACCCACTCACATATCCACACCCATACCCACTCACATATCCACACCCATACCCACTCACATATNCATCGTATATGATTGTCGTAAATGGTCACTGTAAACGACTGCCGTTTGCGATATCTTACGATGTTATCCGAGCATCGTTTACTGTCGCCGTATTTTTACGGTTGTTGTAAAGGACGAACGTTTACTGTCATTGTTTACAATTAACGTAATACGCCGTAAAACACCGTATATGATTGTCGTAAACGGTCACTGTAAACTGCTGTCGTTTTTCGTCGTAAATGATTGGTGTACGACCGTTTATGGCCGGGCATGAACGACCTGGGAATTATTAATTTTAAATGTTTACTTTTTTTCTATTTGAAGTTCTCCAGTGAAATGTCATGTATGCAATACAATTTCATCAAGTGATAAAGCAAGACAATGAAGCTTTTTCTTGTCTATCATTACAATTATATTTAAAACGTTTTATTTAATTTACAGATAATTGCTGATCGAGGTTGCCGACTTGATATGGAAAAATTAAATATTATTTGTTCACTTTGTGATTGGAACGGGACTTTTAAAACTTATCCAGTAATATTATTTGATAGTTTTTCTATTAAGTATTGTTACGGTTTATTTGTTCTCTATTTCTTAGGAACATTTAAATGAAGTTCATTGGAATTGTTTGTGTGAGTATTGTGGTAAAGAGTTGAACACCGTTAATGCTCTTACTCAACATAAATCCGTTTGTGAAAAAACTCCTATGCATTGCGTTCTAGAGCCATATGGCTGCAATCAACAGGTATTTAAGAAATTTTTATTTTATGATTGTTAATCATTGAAGAACCTTTTTTTTAGTTTCTTCGTATGAACCTACGAGATCATTTTCTTAGCGTACAACATCAAAGTGTGTTACTTCAATATCTTAGTAAAAGTACTCAACATCAGATATATGATGAATCAAGAGCATCTTCTCGTACAACAATAACTACTGATAGAGAAACTGATGAGACTTTCAATCGAAATCTTCAAGAATTATTGGAAACAACGAATATGCTATTGGATAGTGTTGGTACTTTAAACGATGATACTCAACGAATCAGTTCAGAATCATTTCGGCATCAAATTTCGCTTCAATCTTTATCTGAGGAGTTATCCAAATTAAAAGTTGCTGTTGAAGAAACACATTCTTCAATGAATATTCATCAAGTCAATCAGCAAACACTTGAACAAAATCTTGTCTCAATCCAACAGCAACTTGAAGATCAAAAGAATATTTCCACTGATGGAAAACTTATGTGGAAAATTACAAATGTTCAACAAAAAATAGGTTTGTTAAAAAGATTTTTATCTTTCATAGTCAAATCTTATTTTACAAAAAACAAACAAACAAACACTATTGATTAGTCTTAGAATGAAATTCAAACAAACAAACTATAGTTTTTTTTTCATTTCTATTTTTTTTTTATTCAATTTCTTAGCTGATGCTCAGAGCGAACGTCAAATATCTATTTATTCTCCTGTATTCTATTCATCCCCGAACGGTTATAAAATGCGACTTCGTCTTTATTTGGTCGGTGATGGTAATGCTAGACGTACGCATATGTCACTGTTCTTCGTACTTATGCGTGGAGAGTATGATGCTATTCTTGAATTTCCATTCAGTTACAAGGTTATCTTTTGTCTAATCGATCAAACACCTCAACAACGACATATTACAGATTCATTTCGACCTGATGTGAAATCAAATAGCTTTCAAAGGCCTCGATCAGATATGAATATAGCTTCTGGTATACCGAAATTTGTGCCACTGACAATCATTCAACAAGATAACAGTTCCTATGTTCGTGATGATACAATGTTTATCAAGGCTATAGTTGACTTTGGCAACATACCAAAGATATTATTACCAGATATATTAAGTCTGAATCCTGGTTTACCGATTCTCTTGCAGCATGAATGGATAAGACGCGAAATCGAAAAGCGAGAGCAAGAAAAAGCATCAAATGCAACTAGCTAGCATACTGGTTTTCATGGATCGAAACATGAATATGAATGAAAATGAAAATAGAACCTAGTTGATGAAGTGTTAATTGATTCTAATGATGAGTCTCCCAAAATAGCCTCTCATTTTTATCAAATTTACTTGACAATTTTCCACAAAATATTGTTATAATTCTTTTTTAAAAATATTAAGAAAAAATAAATTTAAAACTTGAATAATCATGAACTCGCAGTGAATGTTCATTGTTCGAGATATCTATTCACTGGATCAGTTGATCAAGGTGTAGGTGTGAATAAAAACCAAAGGCGTTTTTCAATAATAATTGTCAGTTTTAACAGCAGCGAAAATTGTAATTACACAATGTATAAAGAGAGACTACCATTTTGACAGAATTTACTTTTGCAGTTTTTCTGCAAAAGTAAATTCTGTATAGACTGACTTTATATTGAAATGATCGAGACATTGTGAAATTACATTCGCACTATTCAATAGTGACAATATGACATANAAAAAAAAATTTTACTCGTTTATTAATCAAAATTTATGCCTATAAGTTTATCTAAAAAGTGCTTTTTTGTTAGAAAAATCGATTTTTTTTGTAGAGGGTGTGGGACCTTAATTCATACGATTTATGTTTAATTTATGAAATTTTAGACGATTACTGTGGAAAATGAAAGTGATCATGAAGACGAAGATGAAGATGAAGATGAAGACGAAGACGAAGATGAAGACGACGATGATGATGATGATAGTGATGATGATGATGATGATAATGATTCGGATATTGAAGAAGAAGAACTTATTGAAAATGGTAATGTCAATGAAGATCTTCGACAAGCTGTTGAAAAAGCACTTGGTAATGCAGCAGCAAAAGAAGATCAAGAAGTAAAATAAAAACGAAACAAAATTTTTGAATGAAAACTATTTAAATAATTGGCTTTTAGGATGATGTGGATATGGATGATGAAGCTATGCTTCGTTTAGATCCACTTATTGCTGAAGCATTTCGATCACAAATTAAAAAATCATCAAATATTAAAATAATTAATGAAAAACTTCATCATCAATTTCGTGTACTTGATCTTATTGAATCAGTTATTAAAAAAGATAAACGTATGCGTTTTGTTTTAGTAAGTTTATTAAATATTTTATTTGAATAATTTTCATTTTTTATAATATATTTATTTATTAAGATAAGTATACGTCCATTGATTGAAACATTAACAAGTTTGCCAAATACATCTGCTTATAAAACAATGATTGAACGACTTGATTCAATTTTATGTCATTTATCAAATCGAAAAGTATTTATCTTTTAATTTTTCGCTTAGTTCTAGAAATTTTTAATTCAATCATTTTTAAAATAACTAGACACTCTTTTCAAAGTGGATTCTAAAATTTTCATTTTCTGATGATATGTTCTCAAAAGCTAAACTTAAATAATAATAGATTATTTTCATTGAAAATATTTATTAATTTGATTTATAAACAAGCTCTTTTTAATAATCAATAAATAATGAGTCTTGAATGTCAAGTAATAGAACATGAAGAGTAGAGGTGAGCCACAGACAAAAAAGTTTTCTCTTACTGCACAGAACAACAGTTCTTATGTTCGTTTTCTGTCATGCAAAACAGACATAAAACTGTCAGTCATTCTCCAGTCTGTTTATTTCTTTTTGTTTTTCAATGACATACATAGTAATATAATGCAAAGAAAATCTGGTGTAACTAGTCTTGACCTAGACGAGCTGGTGTTGTTTTTGTTTAATATATTCCACTTCAGTTATTTATGAAATTAGTTCATCTCAAATGAATTGATCTATGTATGTATGCCAGATGAAAGCTGAAAATTTTCCTATTGACCCATTTTTTTAAAATAAATTATGAATATTTCAATTATTGATTTAATTATATTTTTTAATTTCTAAATCCAAATATTAATGGAACTAGCATGAGTTTTTCACATTAAGCTTGTAATCAATAGTGTAATTCATTGATTCTTTTTCCACTAATCGATGTCCTTGTCTTTATTCTTTCCAGATTTTTTATTTCTCTTGATAATTAGTCAAGATTCTTTTTACATGTATACCCAGAACGATCATTCCGACCATCAGCAACAGCATATTGCTGCATTAATTTTTACCGTAATCCGATAGTCCGTTTTACAAGCCATTTTTTTCACTAGCAACGGTAATCGTTTCTCTCACTATTTCCAACGTTCTATCAGCCTACAAAAAACGACAACGCAAGAACATCGGTTTTCCCCGTTTTATATAGTTTACGGTAGTTTGAAGCATCATTTTCTTAAGTCTGGGTACTTTGTGTAAGATTCTTGACTGAAGAAAAAAAACACATCTTAACATTTTGACAGAGTTCATAGGTACCAAATATTTAACTGATGAGGCAAGATTCTTGAATTCTTTGTTTATTCTTTTTTTCTTCAATCTAACATGTTTATCAAAAGAAAGAAAAAAAAAATCGTCTTTTGCATAGTGCTTACTCGAAATCGATAACGATCGATCAATCAGCAAGCTCTTTCTTTCGATAATAGTTTTTTTTGGGAAATTCTTAAATCATCTATAATGTGGCCACGAATGACACAATAAATGCGTCAATTCTATACAATATGCTCACTTACCTAATACTGACATGCAACTCACAGACTTATCCGAAGAGAATATCTTTTGTTTGTTAAACTGATTACAAGAAGCATTAGGTGCCCTCGTGTCGAAATGAATAAATGACGTAGAGACGCCAATATATATATATATAGCTACATGTACCCAAAGACATTTCACGACGTTTGTCTGAAAGATCAGACAAGAATCTTTTTCCTTCCTGTCAGAAGAATCTTGTTTGTCCTTCAGAGTTGCAAAGAACCTTGCCAAATCGATCAAAGAAAACAAGAATCTAAATAGAGTAAGTTCAAAAAATATCAACTAGTGACTCGACTCTCGTTTGTATATCAAAAATATCTTATTCAATTTCACTAAATAATAGATTAGCCTTAAAATTTTAATCAAGAAATTATTTATTTACTATTATATGGCTTTATTTGGTGTTACTATAAAGTAGCTAAGACTACACTATAAGTTGATGTATCCTATCCTATGCTTAGTTCTGATAAAAAAAAATCAGTTTTAGAAGTTGAAAAAAGATAAGCTCAATTAGATTTATAGAATAATTTTGCGTGATAAAATTTCATTCCTTCATACAAGTTAAGATTAAATAATTATTCAAAAGAAAAAAGAATTCATTAGTTTCATTTTACATAAATTTCTAATGTTTAGATTGGTCATTCGGATATGCCAACAACTGATGAATGTATAGAATTATTTCGTTATTTAACATCATTGGCTGGTTAGTTATTTGTTTTCTTTCTTTTTTTTTCTCATTGAATAATTTTTTAATTGATTTATTCGTTTTTAAATAGGTAGTCGAACAAAATTGACTACTGAAACACTATCAAAAGTATCAATGTTTGTCGTAAGTTTAAACTCGATTAAGTAAGATAATTTTTCTTCTATTTTTTTCTTTTGAATTGTTTATAGATTAAATTATGTTTACATGTGGGTAAACTAGAAGATAGATTAATCGGCGTAGAAGAAACAATTTTAACTATGTATGAAGGTGGATTTCTTCGTTTTCTTCAACCTAATCCGTACGTTTACTGATATTATTTATTAAAATCTTCGTTATACAAAACATTTTGTTTTCTCTTAGACCAAAAGAGAAATCCGAGAAAAAAAAGAAAAAACAAAAAGACGATGATGACGATGTTGATGAACTAGTAGTTCATCAATCTGTTGTTCATCCAAGTATTATTAAGGAATTTCTTTTACGTTTTCCTGAATATGGTACACGTCTTATGTTATTAATGGTACAAACAGCTTTGAAAGAAAGTATTAATTGGAAAAAACGAGTAAATATTAGATTTTTATTTTATTTTTGAAATCCTATTTTTTATTTCAATTTAAAGAATATTGTCTGTGGTACATTGAACAATTTTCTTAATAAAAAACAAGTAAATATTTTTGTTATTTTAATAATAATTTTTATGTTTTATATTTCATTTAGTCGGACAATATGGATGAAAAATTATTAAAAGCAACTATTGATCTTCTTGTTACGGTAAGAATAAACTGTTTCTTCTAAGGAGAAAAAAAAACTAAAAGAAATTATCATTCATTATAATTTGTCTTCAAAATATGATTTTCAAATATTATCTGAAAAAGAATTTTTTTCTTTTATTCAGATGTGCAATGATCCAAAATCAGCAAAAATGGAATCATTACATGTTATAACAATATTAACACAAAAATTATTACTTATTCGAGTAAGTTTATATTAGATTACCGTTGATCTATATATATATATATATAAATAAAGAAGTGGAAAAAAGTATAACTACAACATATTTTTCATTTTTTATTCTCTACAACGGCTTGTCCACGTAACGCGCTACTTCGCTGCCCAAGTTTAAAAAATTTTTTTTTTCGATATGGACACATCTAAGTGTATTTTCTGGTACAGTTTTTTACGCTGATTATGAATTTGGACTTTTTTCTTAAAACCAATTGGGTTTTGGCATCGAAAACCGGGTTTTAAAGTTTTCAAAAATCGTATTTTCAATTTTCTAACCAAGAAATTTAAAACAAAGATGCAGAGTAATATACCATTCGACGCAGAATTTGATTCTCTACAAAATGGCCTATTCATTTTTTACTCTCATTCCTCATGACAACTTCTAAGCTCCTGTACAATTATTGAGCTCCCATTTCGATGTAGCAACTTGATAATTTTACAGAACGATATATGTACGGCAGTGATCAATGTATGTGAACGTTAAATATTTTTAAGCATGTTAAGTGCTTCAAATTTGGTCGACAAAAAAATGTGTCACAGCGTTACGTTTGTTTTTTGCATTTTTTATCTAAGCAAAAATAGTTTAGAAAAAATATTTTTTACTGCTTGAAAGCCCATTCAATTCTCTACAAAACTGGGACCATAAGCAATTCATTTGAAGAAATACTTTGTCAAAAAATTAGAGTTTTATAAGCAGCTCTAGAGAAAAAGGGTCCTTTTTTGTCACAGCGTTACGCGATGATAAAACCTTTCTAGAAGTGCGATAGTTCAGTCAAACTAGGTTGTTCTTGCAACATGAATAGAGTATGATAAGCTGCGTCGAATGATTTTTGAACGACCTTAGTAGCTCTTATGCCTTTCGAGATAACTGCAAAGCAATTTGTCAAAAATGTCACAGCGTTACGTTTGGACAAGCCGCTATATATTCATTTATTATCAACTTACATCAAATGGAATTGTTAAACTTTCATTTTTTAGTAATATTTCATCACGATAATTTGAATATTCGATTGGTTCAACTTGAACTGATGTACCATGTTGAATACTTTCATTTCGACTTGAACCACTTTCAATTCGAGCTCTAAATAAATTCATTTTGTTTAAAAATAAAGCATGCAGTAAGCCCGAGCATTCATAAATATTTGACTTCAAAGAAAATTTTCGTGTCTCAAATCAGTTTTTTCTCTCTCTCTTGTTTTCATTGAAAACTTTCAACAATCACCAACGATTAATCCACGGTCTTATATCTCAAACTCCAGATGTCCAAAACTACTCGAATCTTAGAGTGCTTCTATAATTGCTTATGTAGCTCAAAAAAAAAACAAGCTTGAGCAATCATCTAAATATATACAAAAAAAAAAGAAAGTTTACTCAAATTACCGATAAGTTTTTTCCAATTCTTTTGCATTATCTATTAAAGCTTTCGGTTTAATTTTTCTACTACTAATTGATGCTGTTAAACCAAGTACACGTGGTGGATCAGGACAATTATCATAATGTTTATTCATTAATGCAGCATATTGATTATCACCTGATGCATGATGACATTCATCAAATATAATTAAATTAACATGTTTTAATGCTAAAAAAAAACATTTAATCGCATGTTCTTCTAAACGTTAACAAAAAAAGAAATTTGTTTGTTATTATCTTACAAAAATGATTATGATCGATTAAATTAAGAAAAACTTGAGCAGTAAATACTAAGACTTGATGATTTTCAAATTCATCTTCCCATTTTTCTTTATTCCATAAATCAACTCCTAATTCACCACAGTATCTTCCAACACGAAGATTTGTATGAGTATGAATATAATCACTTTGTTGATCAACAAGTTGAACTTATAAAATCAAAACACAAAATAAAAGATACTTGAAATAATCATAAAAAGATTTTATTTACCAGTTTTAACAAGAAATACTGTTCGTTTTCCACCTTTTTTAATACTTTCACGAATAGAATATGACATTTCTTTTATAAGTATTACAGCAATATAAGTTTTTCCACTTCCTGTTGGAAGACATACGATTAAATTTTCTAATTTTGCTTGTTCCATTAATTCTGTCTAATTACAAAAATTAAATTAAAAATACTACTAATAATCAAAAATCCTACTTGATAAGATCGAGCCGACAGAACAACATTTGTATCTGAACTTGGTGTAATAGTCACCTTGATATTTTTGTTTGATGTTGTCATTTTACTATAACTTAGCAAATAAAATTTGTCTAAAAAACTAAAAAAAACCTTCTTTGCATTGACTTAAACCATAAAGTAGATTTTTTTTGAAACTAAGATTGAATAATCTGAAATGTAAAATACAATGTAGCTACTGTTGCTAATCACAGGAAGATTGCAATACCGAAATTGATTCATATAATATAACTTTATTCATACCCTTTCCCAATCTATCTACTCGGCATAGCAGGTTGAAAGCAGCTATATACACGATTAAAACAAATAATAACTTATTATCATTGATTGTAACTTTTATATAGACTTTAGCTTGAGACACCAATAATCCCGAATAATAACAACATTTTTTTTATGTTTTTTTTTATTTCGTTAGAACAACTCGTCGACTAACATATACAAAAATTTGTTTCGAATAATGATTTTTCTGAAGTAAAACTTAGACTTAAAGAAATAAGAAACGCCTATGAAAATTGAAATACGCCGAAAACATCAAATCTCGATAATGTAAGTATTTATTCGATATAATAGTAAAATAATACAACTATAGATTAGTCAAACATTTCGTTTGGGTGTTCAGTTGATGTACCACTATGTTTTGGTCCCTGTGCACAATCTATATACTATCAATTTTGCATGCTCCTTACAGTCCTACATTAAAAAAACGTATTTTCACAGAGGATTAAAAACCATGTATATAACTGATCTTAAATTCTATTTTTTTGTTATAATAAAAGCTTTGTATTGAGGCAGAAAAAAAAAGATCATCTTAATTGTTGTTGTTTTTCTTTTCGTTGATTTCATCTACCTCAGTTGATAGGTAAATACTAATCATATTTTTTTAAATTTGTTGCTTTTTGTTGAGACTAATTAATAGAAAAAAAAAAACAAAAGAGCATCTCCTCTAAAGTAAAATTATTTTTTGAATATTGATCATTCTATTCAATATAGGTTTTTTTGCTAATTCTTAATACGAACATGTATTTATATCAAAAGAAAAGTATTACTTAAATTTCGATTTATTGACACCTTAATATTAAATAAAATTTTTTTCGACGATCTTATAAACAGAAGAACAAAAGTAAAATTGTCTATAATGTAATATGTGCCTATTTTACGACACATAATATGATCATTTAAACTCGTATTCTTCTCTTAAAATTTATACTAGATGGGGCAAAAGTTTTGGCATATAACTCTGTTCAGAAACATAATAAAATGTTGTTGTTTTTTTTCTTAAAGATAAATGTCCTACCCGAATCAAAAGACAAAATCTTCGTAGCCATTTTCAAATTGTTGAATTTTTGGTTTTTGATAATTATTATTCACTCTCATCTCAAGTACAAATGAAAAATTACATCTGTGCCAATTGATTGGAATATTTCGCTCTAAAATAAAAAGTTTTTTATAGTATGTTGCTCTCAGATATATCATCTAAAAAATAATAAACTCGATGTGGAAATCACTAGATTAAACTTTCTCAGCTTAACAAAATAATACAATGAGAATTTGACTTCAACCGAGGATGATGAAAACATGTTAAAAAGAAATCAGTACAGATCTTGTAGGAAATGTTGGTGAAGTGATGAGCGCTTTGGTTTTTTTTTTACAACATTTTCTCTAATATTGATTTAATTAAAAATAACCTTAGTTTTCAATCACAAAATCAATTTTTCTTCGTAAGAAATGATACGTACGTGTTCAATATTAGGAGTCTATGAAAATTTCGAAGATAATTATAGAAAAAAAAGAGTAATGTTTTATCATATCATAGAACAGACTGACATGCAAAATAAGAAGTATAATAAAATTTTCTTTGGATACAAATCGTTCATTAATTAAGCTCGCAAAACATTTCAAACGGATCAAAAACTATAAGTCGTGGTCAGAATTTGATTACAAGTAGTTTTTCAAGAGCTCTTTTCAATGTAAAACGGTTCTCGGTTTTTCAAAACAAGAAAATAAAAATTGAGATGCCTTGTCGAAAGACAATTGAAAAAGAACACAGACTACTAATCCTAAATCATCGGAAAAACTTTCCGACCATCTTCTAAACTCATTCAATTCTTAATATTAAAAGCTATCACATTTATTTTTAACAAAAAAAAAACAAATAAATATAAAATCATAAGCAAAATTTTATAGAATGCCTGATTAAAAAAAAACAGTCAATTATATGTTTAATTATCCATAATATAAAAATCAATGAAATTACACACATAAATGTTTGCAAATATAAAAGAAAAATAAGTGAAACCATTAAAAGTAAACATGACCTTGATTTATTAATAAGTTTGTTTTTTTTTAAATTTTTTCTTACGTTAAAAACAAGTCGAACTCAAATTGTGTTACTATACAAAAGATTTTATCTATCAGTACCACAAGCAGATGATTTTATCACTTACGACTATTTTGCTCATGAACAACGACAAGTAATTGACGACGTATATCAATTATGTTCTTTTTTTTTAATAATAAAATATTATACATATACCACGAAAAAATTGTTCTATCTCGATTTCTTTTATTAACACCGTTTATTATATTTTATTTTCAAAGAAAAGTACAAAAAACCAACAGCAACAAAGAATTATATAGTATAAAATACCCAGTACAATACCACGTTGTCTTTTGCCAAGGAGGATAAAAAAGAGAAAAAAGAAAATGTCGTATATCTCGTTCTTTCTTTCTTTCTTTTCTGTTCGTTCTTTCGCAATCAATGATTCATTATTTTGTCTGTTACACATTCACCGATTTTATTTTGCATGAACTGATGTTTATAAGAATCGGCAATAATGTACATACGTTATCTTTGCGCAGCGGCAATACCTTATCCAATGAGCGTTTCGCGAGGAGAGGTTATTGCTAGTTGAAAACTAAAACCCAATATCCCGCACATTTGGCCTTGTGTTGAATGCTGCAATTTTTGCTGCTTCTTCGGAGGCGTTTAATTAAAAATAAAATTAATCTTTAGAAAGAAAATATTTTCTACGATGACACGCTATGTCGTCATTTATGGTTTTATTTCAATCATATGACAATGTCCGTTTAATTTTATTCTAACGCTTATCACAATATTCTGCTTTCTGTTATAGTTTAAAACAAAATTTATCTACACTTGTTTTTGATATTTTATAAATTAATCTGATTTCAAGTAAAACTGTATTATAGATAGAATTATAAGAATAATAAAATAAAAGCAAAAAAAAGATGATTTGGAGAATATGTTTTAACACGTTTGGAAAATTCACATCATTATGACAGAATGAAATGTGCCAGTGCCAATATCTGAGATGATAAAAAAAAGCCAGGATTTGTATTCATAATATATTGTTACGGAAACAACGATAAGTTATCATCAAACGATGGCGATTTTATGAGAAGACATCTTAGATATACTTGAAGATGAAACAAGGAAAAGCCTTAATCGTAAGTTTATTATAGCAATATTTTTGTTTGATGCAATAGCAACATGTGTAAAGGCTATGATTGAAAATTCAATTGACTAATCTATTAAATATCGAAATATAAATAACTGATTAATATTATTGATCTTCAGAACGATCAATATTTGTTGTAATTTTTTTTATTTTATTGAAGCCTGAAACAGAATATATTTAACAGTAGCATAGTGATTATGAATGAAAATAAAACCTTGATTTTGTAACATAGTTTCGTATAGAAAAGGCTGATACATCAATACATGCTTTATTTTTCGATGAGACAAATTTTTAACGTTCTGATTTTTTTTGTATATTTGATAGAATTATTAACAAACAAAAAAAAACCTAACACACCAATATATTCTATTAGATAAGTCAGATACTTATTTGCAAAGATATTGCTTTTTGTGAAAATGAGGCATTGCTATATTTGTGTTAGAATCTGAACTAATAATCAATATATATATCAGACATATGCTTCGTCCTCTAACACAGGATACGAGGTCAATCAAATTTGACATTTGCCTATTTCATTAAACAGATTATTTTATGGTGATGATTTGGATGACTAATAGATATATACGGGCGACATGGTCTTGGAACGAGAAGAAATGGGACGAAAATTTTTTTTATGGAGACTGAGATCAAGTTTTCTTTTGATCGGAACCGAAATCAGATCTTTTTCTGAGTGGTGTAGAATAAAATGGTTATAAAATAATTATGATACGTTCTCATCCAAAATAGTAAAAGTATTTTTATCAATATAGAGTTAGTCGTTGTCATAATGACTTTTGATGTCTTGAGTGCTGACATTGATCGTTGTTTAGTTGTTTTTAGAAAAAAGAAATTTTCATCTATCTTTCTCTCTTATTTGTTATTTCATAATGTATGATTCATTACTTTGTCTGTTACACATTCACCGATTTTATTTTGCATGAACTGATGTTTATAAGAATCGGCAATAACGTACATACGTTATCTTTGCGCAGCGGCAATACCTTATCCAATGAGCGTTTCGCGAGGAGAGGTTATTGCTAGTTGAAAACTAAAACCCAATATCCGCACATTCGGCCTTGTGTTGAATGCTGCAATTTTTGCTGCTTCTTCGGAGGCGTTTAATTAAAAATAAAATTAATCTTTAGAAAGAAAATATTTTCTACGACGACATGTTATATCGTCATTCAGAATTTCATTTGAATCATCGGGTAATATCCATTTTATTTTATTCCAATGTTCGTTTACTGTTTGTTTGATGTTAATAAATGAATTTGTACCCATGTAAAAACCACTTGATATAGATGAAATAATAAATTGAAATTCTCTCATTTGTGCCAAGGCTTTTAATACATCATTGACATGCTCGAGTGTTGGATGTATAGGAAAAAGTCGATCAAAATTGTCATCACCTAAATGTTTACGTAAATCATTGAAAAATCGCTTAGTTGCTAATAGAGTTAAATTTGCTGCTCCATAACTAAATTATATAAATAAATAATTATAACAAAATTCTTCTTTCTGTTATAGTTTGAACAAAAAATTTATCAACTCTTTGTTTTTTTTTGATATTCTATAAATTAATCTAATTTCAAATGAATTGTATTATTAATAGAATTATAAGAATACTAAAGGCTATTTCCATGGTACTTGTGACACGAAATACACAACATTCACCAAATCGTTTGAAACTTTCAGGACTTGTGTAATAGTCACTTCTAAGACTTTTTTGCTCTTGGACAAAATTTATACGACGTCTTGTTCAAGAGCTGTAGCCAAAATACCAAATACCCTCCGGAACGGTTTTTTAAAGTATCTTATTCTTTGTAACACTGCTAGTTTTGCACTACTTTATGCTATNTATACTGGATTAAAGGAGGCTAGTTATATTTTTCTATCGCAATGCATACTTATTACAGCTAGACGAAAAAATAATCATACGCTTCATTACATATTAATAAGGTAGTGAGGAACTATGTTTTCATTTGTCGACATTTGGCGAAGATCGAAATTTCGAATCTCTTATTAGCAAAAACAGCTGGTCACAAATTAGCGGTAGATTAGGGCATGTTTAATTCTGTGTCGTTTATTAACTTTGATAAAATGAATTTCAATGCATTTTAACTAAATCAAGTTGAGTATGCTAAAAAGAGCTCTTTTTCTGCGCAAACTACGTAGAATAAGACAGGTAAATACTAGTACACTACACTGTAAAAGAAAAAGCACAATAATCAAGCTTTACACTTCAAAAACATTTTTCATAAAGTCTTGAAGAATTTGTAACAGTAATGTCGTATATCTTAGGATTATTGATTTGACATTTCTATCACAAAGGTATATTACTATCCGCTTTCATCAGAAGCATTTATTATTCTACACATACACTGAAGAAAAGAGGTATAACAAAGAGCATAGGAGGTTTCACAGAAATTTACTGTACCTTATTAGGTATCGGGCAAACGGACGATACATTGGTAAGGTTTCAGAATTCAATAGGCTTCGTCTAGAAACATTACAGGTTTTCAAAGGATAAAAGGTTTCGCATTAGAATAGTCTTTTTCTTTATTTCATTTAGAGTCACGTATCCTAATTCTGCCGATTACATGGAAAATTGCAGTAAATTTTAGAAAAAAAATTAAAAATTTATTCTTCGATTCGTCTCAACGTAGTCTATCTATTAATATGTTTTGGAAAAATAAATTCAAGATTATCTAATGGTCTTTTTTTCTTTTCACAAGTTAAAAGAGTCTTCGGCAGAATTAGGAACAGGAGAAAATTCTGCCGATGACTGTTTTAATTTGTGAAAAGAAAAAAAACCATTAGATAATCTTGAACTTATTTTTCCAAAACATATTAATAGATAGCCCACGTCAAGACGAATCGAAGGATATATTTTTTATTTTTATATTGGATCAGCTTCAAAAAATAATGAGTTTTTTCTAAAATTTACTGCAATTTTCCATGTAATCGGCAGAATTAGGAAAGAACATATACAGAGCGACTGAATTAGGAACACACAAAAATACAGTAATATTTGACACTCTCTCTATTGTCACGCTTCTCCTAAGTGATTAGTTAATTGTTTTCTAATGTATCTTACATCATTCGATAGAAACATGTATGCTTTATCCGGAAAAGAAAAGATTATTTCTCTACAACATATGTAGCTTGAAATATAAAGGAAATACAAAAGATATTCTTTTCCCGGAAGAATTAAGATACGTGACTCTATAATACCAACAGTTATCCATCAATAAAAAAACTCGATTGATCTGATTTTGGTTCTTCTGATAATCCATTAACATTCGTTGTACGATCGAATTGGTAAATATTAACGAATAACGGATCACTTAACAATTAGTGCCCCTTCTCATACTTGAGTTTGATTTAATTACATTTAAAGTGCATAAAATTTGTAGGACATGCTGGGACTGTAATGAAATGGCTGCTCTAAAATTGTCAGCTCTATAGCATGATGTTTTAATAGATATGAAGCAATCAAGGATCCAAAAATTGCTAATTTGGTGTTCCAAAAATTTGTTCTGGGTTTTCATTCAATACTGTCAATTTTTTTTTTAGTGTTTTTTGAGAAGGCAAAGAGTTATAAATCCATATCGCAAAACCCTCGAAGAATAATGAATAAAATTCTAAATTTGTGGAGCGTTTGAGTATTGCATTGCTATTATTTTTCTCCTCAAAAAAAAATGAATTGAAAGAAAAGAGTTTCGATATGCAATGCACTGTTACAACCTCTTTCAAGCAAAACATATGGAGCATATAAAGTGAAAGCCGAAAAAGAATTTGGGTAACCGAACAAGCTATTTCTGATCATTTTCTGATGCATTTCTCGCGAAAACCACATGGAGTAGAACTAAAAATTTTATGTCATTCAAATTCACATGACAAAAATCAATCTTTAGGGTGGGTGACCTTAATATTGAGTTTAAATAGTTTCTGATGATGCATAACTTACTTAAGATTTAGAGCATAATTGATTCACGTGAGAGTAATACTGTTTCATTCAATTTTTCTCTGTCAGGAAGACGTATTTGGTAAAAATAATGATTTTTTAAACAAAAATTGACTAGAAGTTTTCGGGATCGAGGATCTAGAAATGCTCTTTGCTAAGTCTCGCGGCTTAAAATTTCATGCTGCCAGTCGAATTTTCTATAAAAGAAAAGTTTTTTTTCTCAAAATAGATCTTCTCTAATGAGAAAAATTGATATTAATAGTATTACCCTCAAGAAAAAACTTATTCATCTAACTTTTAGTAAGTTATATGTTAAGAGAAGCAACTTAAGTTTAATATTAACGGTTAAGTGGCCCACTGACTGTTGAGATTAACGAAATAAGATGATGACAGTTACCGAGTTTTTACTAATATTGATGATTAAATGATTAGCCATTTCTTAATATAAATTTAATATAAATGGTCAATCCATTTCTGAAGGGTTTCACCATACATATAGGAACATATGTATAGAAATTGGTGGATAGACACATATTTACAGGGATTGATCGAGATGACTGATTAAGGAAATAGATCAAAGGTTTAAGTTAAGCGAATAGATTAAGAAGATATATGTAGATTTACAGAGATCCATTTAGCAAACTAGGTTACGGAGATGGAGATTAGAGCTACGATTTGAGAAACAGACATATATATAAAGAAATAGATATAGGTGTAGTAGAATTCGTATAGACGGACGGATTCGTGTAGACGTACAGTTTGCATTGGAACCCGCACGAAAGTTTTACTAAAAAACTCTGTTTGAAGCGAAGTGGAAACGATTTTGTACGAAGCCTTATTTTTAGGAAGCTTCAAAAGATTTCGATTTCGTTGCAACATTATGAGCCTTTTAAAGTTCCGTATGGTGCTTTTTGGTCAGATATACTCCTTTCATAAAACTTATATAAGTTTATTATTCTACGGATTTTTTTAGTGTACACCCGGCTATCGACGCCTATTTAATGGTAACGAAAGAAACAAGCGAATGTTTTGATAAGTCTCAAACTTTTGAGCTAAAAATGTGACAGTCCTAAAATGAACGACATCAGGCAGTACGGTGTATTTTTTTAGTACTACCAACAAGTGACTGAACTCTTGTGTTCTTTCATTTCCCCGAATTGTTTAGATCTCCATGAATATGCAAGATCTACCACGTGGTTGAGGTTTCAACTTGTCCAGGTTGTCATGAGGTAGCGAATCCACATGAATAGACATCTGTAATCAGATTAATTGAAAACACTCTTCACATATGTGTTCGATTTCGTATCAACTTTGAACGTATTTCACGTGTCAAATATATTCATCATCGATCATGCTCATTCTGATTAATTGAATTGTAATTGTTGATATTCATGTAAAAGAAATAAAGAATAGACAACGACAATCACAAAATTGTCTACCGACAGAGTCGCCCGAATGAATGATGCGTTTAGAAGACTCGAATAATCAACTTTCGCATGAGTTATTTCTATGAATTTTTTAATTGAGTCGTTGTGTTTCTCGATTTGTTCAAGAAGAAGATATTAATGAATAAAGCATGCGCACAACTAACAATATGGACAAGGATAGAGACAAAAATATCTAATGTAAATCGCTCATACATATCTCTAGAGGTAAAATTCTTTTTTTAACCAGTTTATATTTCTGCATGATATTCGTTAAATGAAATCGAATCGATTGCATTACATACCTCTCGCCCTTTTGCATTCGACAGATGAACTAATTGGACGCAAAAGTAAATATTCTGGTAGGTATGTGGCTGTAGCTGTGAGTCTTCTCATATCTTCAAACACCCACGCACGCATATTCCATACGTCTCACAACCAATTAGGATTAGTTTAGAATTTGTCGAACAAAAACGTAAAAAATTTTAATTTTTGACTTATTTCATAAATTTTGTTTTACATCCCACCAATTAGAATCACAGTTTCAGATGGATCAACAAAGACTGGTCATGACTGATACAAACAATTGTAAGGGAGCTACGCTCTCAATAGGGAAAATGTTTCATTTTTGGCATCATGTTCCAAAAATTTGGGTATCCCAAGTGGAAAACCATTTTGAAGATGTATGAATGATTTGATGAATGTGAATATTCGTGAAATCCTTTTCTTGTCTCACTCGCACCTACCCATTCAAGCACATTCAGAAGATAATTTGCCAGCTCTCGTAGCTTCTATGAAAGTAAAGGCTTCTAGAAATGCTTACACCAGCAGGAATTTCTTGTCGGTTGTATTTCTAGACAAATATACTGTGTATTCAGAATGCATACGTCACTGTATATACTGTCATATGTTGAGAAATATTTAACAAACTCTAGTATAACCTAAATCATGCACAAAATTAAACGAAAAATTTTCCAATAGATTCCAGTTGTATTAGTTTTTCACCAGTTGATATAGAACATTAAGATCTCAAATGTTTTCTTACGCCGGAGTATACATCGATTATACAAATTGTTTGTTCCATCAACAAACAACAATTCATGATCTAGTTTGTTATATCTATCGCCATCCAGCATCAATGATATCTTTATTGATAAACAGAAACATATTCATCATAACTTCAATGTAACAATAGACCAATTTACATATTGAACCAAAAATCTAAACCAATCTCGTCGTGAAAAGTGATGATTTTAATCGACTAGGCACTGATAAGTTTCTTGGTTTTCAAACGAATTCAATATTTATTATTGCTAATAACAGTAAAAATAATAACATTGATTTATTAAACTGACAAATAAATCTTCATCAACTTGAAAAAGAATTAAAAATTTAAACAAGATTTGGAAAACTTTGACATGAACGGCAAGATGCTGAACTTGAACTTCATTTGGCTAACGATCAATTAGCTCAATTCAATCCTGAGTTCACCAGCAACCTACTATTGTTCGATAGCTTCTGTTGTTTTTTTAAGTTCACACGTATCTAAAATTGTAGCACGATGGAAAAGTCGAATCTTATCATATCGCAATAACGATGACCGCCTCAGTGACAGTTCGGTCTGGATAGTGAATGATCCTATGTCAACGCCGAGGCAACCACGTTCGCTCAATGGCAGCCTTCCATCGACAGTTAGTGAAATTGTTTCAAGCATCTTTCATAGTGAAAGACATGACTAAATCATTTTTTTCAGAAACAAGTGCAAATTGAATATTTCACGGTGAACAAGTCGATAAAAAGATTTCTTAAATTATGAGTTAACAATAAGAAAACTGACATCAGATTGATGAATGCACATCGCAGGTCAACAACAATCAACAATACTTTAATCACTTCTATTAAAATCTAAATGTATACGAGATAGTTCTGTTTGTGTTTTGCTATATATAACACGAAACATCGAAATTTACATCAATACCTTTGAGATCAGAGGTTAGCACTACTTGACATTAGGTAGTTTACTCTGAATGGAATAGATTGAACAAACAAGAGTTGATCATTGCCATAAGAGTCTTATTAGAGTTGCATTTAAAAAAAATAACATTGTTACTGACGAGGTGCACAGATCGTCAAAGTTCTAACCATTAATGTTGATAGAACATAATACAAAATTTTTTATTTCCCAAGGAAAAAGAAACGAATAAAAATTCCTCAATATCAGAAGTAATTACTCATTACAAGAGAACATACTTGCCTAGCTTTGCCAATGAGAAACGAAAAGTTGGTAAATAGATACATTAAGACATTACACGTGACTACATCACCATTTGACTACTCTTGTCAACATACAACTAAAGTATGAAAAGAAGAAAAGAAAAGAGAAGAAAAAAATGCATACGAATAGAAGTATTTCACAACACCACGAATGAGTCAATATCGAATGTTTGTCGCATTCATGCAAAGTGTTTTTTACAATTTATTTTCACTTGAATAATGTCCGCGTGCCTATTCGAATTTTTTCCTGTCGAATTAATGCATGGAATTTTCCATTATTTATCGGCACATGAAATTTTCTATGCATTTGCTCAGTTAAGTACGTATGTAGATAGTGTACTTGTTAGTTATGATCGTTATTCAATCAGTTTGTCTTCCATGCTTAAACAACAATTTGATCTCATGTGTTGTCTTATTCAACCAGAACAAGTTATTTCTATCACTATTGCTGATAACGATGATACACCAGATCAATCGAAATTATTCTTTTCAAAATTTGATATACGACAATTTATTAATCTTCGTTCATTTGCTATTATCTCATCGAATCAGAGTATTTTCTTGCAATTGGATCTTTTATGTCAATTTAATAATTTTCAATCATTGACTTTACCATACATTTCACAGACTTATTGGTGTCTTTTTGGATCTCATGTAGAAATAATCCTACCTCGATTGAGACAATTGATTACAAACCAATGTCCATTAACGAAACCATTAAAAAATTTGAGATATGTAACGATCACACATTGTTATTGTCATAATTTAGAATACTTATTTCGTCAAATGACCGACTTACGATCATTGAATCTTACTATGTCTCTTGATATGTTTACTGATTGGTCCAAAAAAATACCAATGATGAATCATCTAAGACGTTTGACACTTGGCATTCGCTGTAAGATAATATAGTCTAATTCATTACGTGTGAGGAAGGTTGACGAAGTCATAGTTTAAAGCAATTCTCTTCATTGAATGATGATTAAATTTTATTTATTTTGACGTTTCGGTACAACAAGATGTCCTTCGTCAGAAAACAGCAATGATCAAAGGACACCTTGTTGTGCCGAAACGTCAAAATAAATAAAATTTAATCATCATTCAAGGAAGAGAATTGCTTTAAACTATGATAATATAGTCTAAGTTTCGATTTTAAAAACTTATATGTTATCTTTCCATTTCAACGATAAGATGGTCGACTGACGATGGATCGAATGAATCAATTTCTATTGAAAATGCCCTTGTTACTGCATTTTGAACTCCGAATTGACGATCCAATGGATGCTGTCGGTGGTGAACAATGGAAACGGTGGTCTCGACATTCAAATGTTGATATCGAAGATGCAAACGATATTATCAGTGGTTATCAATGGAAATATTTAGTATCTCATCTGCAAACATTCGATTTTCGTTTTTATCTCTCACATAAATCTGACGAGAAGATTCTTGATTCATTTCGATCATCATTTTGGCTCGAACAGAAACAATGGTTTGTCGCCTATGATGATTGCCAATCACTGCCGTGCCTTTTTACCGTGCCACGTTTTGCACCGAAGAGCATAATTTATTCGTCAGACTATCGTACACCATCGTGTACATCATCCAATATTTGTCTCGATGAATTTGTTGATAGTATCACGTTGCCCATGCTCCATCCATTGACGCATCATTTCATCAATGCGACATCGGTGATACTTCAAACAGACAACAATCTTAGCTTGGAGACAATTTTACCATACATGAAATTGCCTCGCCTACAGTCACTTACAGTGGCCAGTTCGGCGTTAGTGACTCAACTGTTGACACAAACAATGTATGAATCGATTCGTTCATTGACGATAGATACAATAGTGACGAAATCGCATGCTGAACAAATATGCATTGTGTTTCCACGGTTAGAACGTTTAAAAATCAAAATTAGTGATCAAGACACAATGCTATTGTTAATTGATGGATTGAAACATTTGTCGATTGGCACATTCGTATATTGTCAGTCATCGAGACTCAAACTTTTGACACATGACTGGGTTGTTGAAAACTCTTCACGATTAACGGCACACAATAATTTTACATGTAATATCAACAACGATAAAGTACACTTGTGGATGAGCGTCGAATAGTTATGCGTTGTTCTCGTATTAAATCGAACAAAATATCCAGAATATTGCACTGTTTTTTGTTTAGTCAAGATTTAACTCAGAGCATAATCATGATCTAATTTCTTTCTTTCCAATTTTTCTCACAGTCCTATTTTTTTTGGAGTCAAAGCCTTTTTATTAAGATGTTACAAAGAAAAAACAAAAATATAATACAGAAGGCTGGAGAGAAACGGCGAGACGCTTGACGAGTGTCTTATGTCTCGTGAAGGTGGTGAAAAGTTGGAAGTTGTAATAATGGAGTATATGTTGCAAAGTTAAAGTTAGCGATTCCGATATAACAATTGTTGCATGTATTCGGGCGACTCAACAATNTATAACATTTTAATCGATTTTAATCGGATTCTTCTAGAAAAAGTAGAAGCTTTGTTCGAAAAATCGGATTTGTCAGTCGCTAATCAAAAATAATCTGGATTTTCTTCGGAATATTTTTCACTGGGAACTCTTCTGTGACTCATCGGAGCGCATGAGTTCGTTTCTTCATAGATACAATAGCGATGCAACAAAAAAATAACAGGTAATTACGCTTCAGTCGTCCCTGTTCAGTCAAAACAAGTTTATTTTGTATGCGAAGTGCTTCATACGTGTAGCTACTTTTTCGTTATAGTGTTGTAAATTAGTTTTTCTCTTTCAAGAATACTAATCGCTAATGTGTAATATTCTAGATTTTATTATTTATTAGTTTTGATCACATAGCCTTCCACAACTTTTGTCACTTATTCATGCTAAAACGAAAAACCGAGAACTAATTATCCTAAGAAAACTTGTTTGTGAAATACATTAACTGAAGGTTCTACGGTTAAATGAATCTTAACAGACGAATTCAGTTAAATGCGATGAACTGCTTAAGAAAACGAAAAATAACGAATGACTGCTGAATATAATAAAACCTTTTCAGAAAAATATGCACGAGTCTAGTAAAGTTTTAGGCTTTTCAACATGTTTTTTTGAAGAGTCTTGTCAGGGTGAGTAGTTTTTGACAGTACTTTTTTTCAGAAATGACGAGGCGTAGTGAAAATTAACGATGCCCATCAGTCACGTTGCCAGGTGGACGCAAACAATATTGTTTCCATCGACATCGTAATTGTCTAAGCCTTGTTAGAAAATGGCTTACCAGGGTAGACCATATGACTACAAAACGACTAGTCTTTTTCATCCATCGTTCGGTCACTTGGAAACAGTTTCTTGAGTATCTTCATTTTTTTAAATGTATAGATGGAGCAACCTACAACCATGCAAAGCATCAAGGAAGAAACCGAGAAGAACCAGAAGAAACTCCCTCGTGCTCTATTAAATGTTGAAGATTACCATCGAAGGGCGAAAGAAAAATTAAATAAAATGGTATATGATTTCTATAGCACTGGGTCAGATGATCAACAAACACTGATTGATAATCAATTAGCTTTTCGTCGAATAAAATTGCGTCCTAAAGTCCTTATTGACGTATCATCACATTCCATGGTAGATTCTATAAATTGTAAGATACAACTCTTCAATTCTACAACAATTTCATTCCCATGTATTATTGCTCCTACATCTTTGCATCGACTAGCGAACACTGAACATGGAGAACTGGCAACCGTTCGAGCAGCTGTTGCTTCTTCAACAATCATGTGCGTTAGTACTGGTGCGTCAACATCCATGGAATTAATTGCCGATGAACATCGACGCTACATTAAAGAAAAGTATCCTCAAAGTTATTCGCAACTCTGGTACCAATTATATGTAACAAAAAATCGACAATTTTCAAAAAAGTTACTCGAACGAGCTGAAAGGTGTGGTTATACAGCTTTAGTACTTACAGTGGACGTGTGTGAAATAGGTAACAGAGAATGTGATATTCATAATCATTTTTCGTTACCCGATGGTATACATGCTGAAAATATAAGGGATGAGGATAATACGATAGCGAAAACTTATCGACAACTCCAAATTGATCCATCATTATCATGGAAAGATCTTGATTGGATAAGGTCAATTACATCGTTGCCTGTCATTCTTAAAGGCATTATGCATCCAGATGATGCTCGTGAAGCAGTTAGATATGATGTACAAGGAATTATTGTATCAAATCATGGTGGACGGCAGTTGGATACATGTCAAAGTACAATTGATGCTTTACCAGCTATCATGGCAGCTATTACTGACAGCAATTGCCAAATGGATGTCTATATTGATGGAGGTATAAGACGAGGAACAGATATCTTGAAAGCTCTAGCATTGGGAGCACGAGCAGTGCTTATTGGACGCCCTGTATTATGGGGTTTGGCGGTAGATGGAGAGCAAGGTGTGACAAATGTATTGACAATATTAAAACAAGAATTTCGTGTGGCTATGAAGCTATGCGGATGTCAAAATGTCGAAGATATTAGAAAAAATAATCTTTTAGTGATGAATGACAATAATAGATCAAAATTATAAAATAGCAAAACTATCGTTTCAACAATCGAAATCGTTGAACATGATAGCCACGCATTGATGTGTAGAATGTAAAATATGATTTTAATTGCTTATTTTGCTAATACTATAAAAATATAATTTAATTAAACATTGGATATAATTGAGCACACTACGGGATGCAATTACTACATGTAAAGGCTATTTAAAAGTGTCGTTCAGTTTGCTGTTCATTATCATCATACCGGATGTTACCGTTTTTGACGTAGAACACCTAGAAAATAATTTTAGGCTATCAGAATAGGTCTCTCTTTGCTAATAGTAGCTTTTCCACTTCAAAGAAACCATGCTTGATTCAAGTTGAGCGAAAGAGTTCGTGTACAAGACACGAAAGGACAATAAATGGTAGTTGCCAGCCAAAACGAAGCATTGATTGAGCAAAAATGATGAAAGCAAAGTCCTATAGCCTGTTATCATATTGCAAACAATGCTTTATCACATCAAAGACAATAGAAGTAACAGTAGTACCGCTGAAGTTTGAGAACTACAGTTTGACATTAATGGATCAGCTGGTTGCGTAGCCAAAGCTGGAAAAATGTCGTTTTTTAATAGAGGATGAAAAAAGAACGATGAATGCATTACCCTAATGTTTTTATGATAATTCTTTCTAGGAACAAACTTCCAAAGATAATTAACATCCGGCCATCGTTCTGTCTGTTATCTTAGATATTGACACAAATTAAAGCAGTTTGTTCAGAGCGAGAAACTTTCGAGAATTGGATGAATGCATCACTACAACTTTCTATCCTTTTAGAATTGTTACAAATCAGCCAACTGAAATGAAAATTTTAGCGTAAGTAGAACTTGCATAAATCTAGATGCAATGAAAGTTTCAGCTCTGTGCTGCTGTAATTTATTGAGTTACGATAATCCCAAGATCAAATTCTTTTCAAGGCATATTTTTGGATTCGATTATAAAGTGTATCATCTCGTTAAATTTTTGATTGCGGCATGGCAGGACAATCTGATACTTCATATATTGTGCCGTACTTGATCATCTCTTGAATAAGGCCTGAAAAACAAAAAGCATTCAGACAGAGAGAATGCCAAGGTATAAAACATAACGATAATAACGGAGAAAATTTTTGACGATGAAGCAGAAGAAAACGAAATTGCAAGCACGCACAAGTTTACAATGAAAAATCGAAAAATTCCCCTTCATCTACCTTGACGACAGCATCTGTCACATGGAACTGCTTATCTACAGGCCAACAGTGAGAGATCTTCGCTCCTTCTTCAGTTAGCACTAAGGAAGAAGGACAATCATTGTTGAATAAGCTAAGTTGGATTTCAATAGAAAGAAAGATTTTCAAAAGAAAGATGAAGCTTTTCTAAAGTTGCAAACTATGATATTAGATCATGGACATTCGATTCGATGAAGCTTCAAAATTTAGAACTACAGACCTAGTTCAGAAGAAGAGAGAGAAACTAGATGCTAAAAGAAGAAAATAAAAGAGCGAGAATAACAGTTAGACAAAGTGTATTAGTTTTTTATTCAACAAAGGACATTTTTGTTAACGATTTCAAGACTCAATGTTTTGTCGGTAAATTTTCAAAAGTTTTGAAGGATCAGCAAAGCAAAGGTTAGGTTGTAAGAGAAGTGTTCAATGAAAATGTAACAATAACAATTTCATTATGTATCTGTAAAACTTCATCAACATTCAGATGATCTCCTGTCAAATCGGCGCAAAAATTCTTAATAATCTCTTCAATTGTACTTCCTTGTTCAGCTGTGAAAAGAATCGTATGTGAGAGAAACGATTTTTTGGATTCCACACATTCATGATACAGTACCACTCAATGATGATCCGACTGAAGGCACTAACTTCATTTCATAGAAGATAGTTTCACCAAGAGTTCTTCAATATAATACTGTTGATGCTCAAAATTTGATAAATCCAAACTTTAGATATTAATCATAATACGCCAATCTTCTTGGAATGCTGACGTTATCATCGAAAGAGAATAAAAGACTTCTTTTTTATATGCTCATATTCGCATATTATTCAATACATCAAGTATCGATTATAAAGACACTGTATCGATACGATTTCTAATTTTGCAGTTTGGGATTGTTGGTCATTACATCTTCTCATAAAATTTCAATGATTTATTCTTCAAAAAAGGAAACAAATCATTCGATTAGATCTATAATGGTCGAAAATATCAAATTAGATAGATTCATGCGGCTTTCTCATCCTGTTTTACTCTTAGTAATACAACTGCATTGTGACGCGGCTTAAACAGTGAGCAACTAAAATATATGATTTTTTGTGATTGCATTTTTCTGATCATGTGTATCAGGTCATTTTCTTATTTTTAAAGCCTAAAATTGATCATCTTGTACGACGAAACTAATTTTCATACTTGTTAAGAATTTTATCAACATTTTTTTAAAGCTGCGTGTTTCTCAAACTGATGTCCTGTACACTTGCGCAATACTGATTCATTTCAAAGGTTATTCGTACACATAATGACATGGAAATTTTTTGCGGGTTTATTCCAATTTTTTTTCAATATCAGTTTTTTAACCGAAAAGAACGCTGCTAGTACCGATGATGCAATATCAATATGATTTCTTTACTTTCTCACGTATATTGATCACGATCGAATTGCGAAACAAGACTCTTGACTACTTCCGTATTACTCCGTGGTAGCCGACGTGGCTTTGTTAGCAGATGATATATAAGAGCGTGTTACATATCTCAATAACAGTTATTACAAGACTTACAGTACATCTTTTTTTTTTGTTTCTAACAGGTAAGAGAATATTGTTATCGACTTATTTTTACGATGGTTATGTAAATCAGAGACTAGCAGAAGGCAGTGCCATTGTGAATCGGATATCCACTCGAAAATTGACAAAACTTTGCGATGATGATATTCTGTATGATTGATACACACTAATCACTCACTCAATGAAAATAAATCAGCAGAAATCGATGGAGTTAACATAAATCTATACATTTTCTTGAATTCATTAAGCAACTTTCACCAAATTAAACATTCACCAAATTCAAATTGTTTGGTGTGTTTGAGTATGGTGCATGCTTACACCAAATAATATAATAACAAACGAGTGGCCTACATACAACTGGCTACGTTTGTTCTTAATTCTTTCAGGTACTAAAAGATAGTTTTAAAACCTGCCTTTCGGTTTGTTCGATACAAAAAATTTCTAGCTGCCGACTTTTTTTTCCCAATAGACATGTCTTGTTTGAGTTCAGCTGAAACAATAAAAATCTATTTCATCCTTCTCGTACGACGTTCAACAATTGGAGAAATCCATGATTTATTTTTACCTGTAGTTTTGTTAAGATTTCCATTATCCTTCGATTATTTGCTACTTTTCCCAAATAGCTGAAGTAAACTTGTCTGAACTGTCATAGGCACACGAAGCATTGAAATTCCTATCTTTCGGTGTAAGATATTTTACTGTTCACGTCGAATTAGATCAGTTATTAACTTTGATATAACTTCAACATCACTAGAAAAAACTTACATGATACGATCGAGTGACTGATCATGGTTCAGATTTAATGAGGATAAAGGAATTTCGCTTCAAAAGTTAGATTGATTAGTTATGTAGAGCAACAATGTCTGCCTCGAATGAGCTCAACATCAGGCTTGAAGGTCATCTATAAGTGTCGCGAAATCTGAAAATAAATGTGACCATGTCTATTTGGCCCACCCGTTCATTGTACAATTGATGAAACTTAAAATCTTGTGATTAAATTATCGGAAAGCTGTATCTTTTCAATATACACTGGAAGACAAATTAAATTTCTCAGTTTCGTTCTTTTTGTTTTTCTGTTCGATTTATTTTTGCGATTCAAACACTATTTCATGCTTGTTCTTTTCAGGAATCTCTTCTTAAAATAAACAATAACAATCGTGATCAATGCCAGTAAGTAGTACTTAACTGTTTCCCAATATTTCTATTTTTTTTTTAACTGATTCGATTTTATTCGTTTAATAGAATCCTGATGATGATGATACTCCCTTAAGCATTGAAGTCGACGACAAGTGTACAACTGATTATTCTCCGTCTGAAGTAAGTCGTAAATATCAATTGTTAAATTTACTTCGTATACACTTTTGATTGTTTCGAAGGAGGTAACAGATAACAGAACAGCTAATGATATTGATACATAGCAGAATCCATCGAATTAATCTCAACACTGGATCATAACCTCAAAAACTTTAGAAAATATATTATGCTTGTTTTGTATTTCAATCATCGCCCATGTCGCTTCGTTTTTACCAACTGCGTCGTAGTGAAAATCTCTATCAGAAACTACGGTTACTGCGACGCAGACCAACGTAACTACGTCGCAGTAATCGTATCGTACAATCCGCTGTAACTAGCGCCGACCAATCATAAATCACTCCTCCTTATTTGTAATTGGCTACACTCCAACAGTAAAACTTAGCCGGAGAAAGATAGTATAAAAGGCAATGTCCATGACACTTCGGCTCATAACTCATTCTACCACAAAAGATAGAATATATAATTCACAAATAATTTTCCTAATTTTTTTTATTTTTCTGTTTTTTTATTTGTCTATTTTTTTCATGTTTCAAATCTTTTTAATTCTCAATAAAGATATTAATAAAATGAAAATCTCATCTATAGCATCTCTTTTAGCAATTGCGGGTCACAGTGCGATCGCAGTTTGACCGCAATCGAACACATGGGCGCTCAATCAACCATTATTTAGTGCATAGTCAATGACTATACCAAATTATTGTAAATAACAGTATGTTTGTAAAATTATAAATAAAGTGGTATCTGTACATATTATTAATACTCACATGTCATTGTATAAGATCCATAAAATATTTGTTCAGAATGGATGTGGGTGTGGGAGTGGGTAAAAAAAAGACACACACAAATACATCCACACCCTCCATATTCAACAAACAAGGGCCAAAAATAGCTCATTTGTCAATCCTAAATTCTC